GCAGAGCTGGACTACAGAGGCTTTATCTGGAGGCTAATGGCTCTCACACAGACAATACAAGAGAACCACACTGAGCTGCAGTGGGTATTTATTGAGCGATGTTCCTGAGTAATTGCACTGCGTATTTCAAGCCATCTCCCTGCTAAGTGAACCCCTACATGCACTGCCTCAGCTTTCTTAATAGAGAATAGGCTCACAAAGCTGCTGATTTAACTAGCACTAAATTAAAATTCAATATGAGGATCAGCTGGACAAACCTGACACTCTTGCTTGAGGGGTGGCTTGGGAGGGGAGATGGAAGTGTCTTTTTGCCCACTGATGGGAGGGCAGGAGGGAGACACAGGAGATTTCCATTCTTGCTCGATGGTCCCCCTTTGGGGAGCACAGCAGCCTGGAGACCTTGCCAGAGCTCAGAAGACCTGTGTTTTCTTCTTAGGTCTGTCGTGTGGCTTTAGGAAAAGTGGTCTGTTACCTCCTTTCCAGCTCCCAAACTGCCTGCCTCATCTTGGAGACCAGCTTTGGGACCTTCATCGCTTTGGATGCAGGTAACTGTAAGCAGGCTGCAAACTGGGATCACAGCATCCTTCTGTGGGCTCGGCTGGGATGAGGGCTTGTCCATGACTGCTCTCTTGAGCATATGCACTCGGAGAGACCCATGTGTCCTTCGTGTTAGCCAGCTGGACATGCTTAGGACATGCCTGAAGTCAGGCCAGAGGTCTGGCAGGGAAACCAGGTGGTGGCGGAGCATGCCAGACCCACCCATGAGAGGGGTCCAGCCCCTCACCCCCATCAGCACTCGGTTTCAAACCTGCAGAGAGCCACTCCAGCCATTCCCCAGGCTTTCCAGGGCAATGTGTGTCTGGAGCAACCTGGTTCCCTTACCTACCTACAGAACAAGCCCAGAACTGCCAGACAAGAGACAGGAAACTGCTACTTACCTAATTTGATTTTATTTTACTTCTTTTTTATTTTTTGTGCTCTCAGAAATGTGTTCAGTCTGGATTGAGGTTACAACCTGGGTAATGCCTCCCTGCCTAAAAAAAAAAGCTGTTACCATAACAACCTGACTCTGTGCTTCATTACCATGGCAATTCTCAGGAATTATTAAATACTGTGTATGTTTGGTGCACGCGCTCCAGTACATCTGGTGCCAGGCTCAGGTTGGGATCCTCCCTCCCCCCTAATCTGTTTGTCTGTCTCATCTTGTTTAACTCTTTCATTGCCCTCAGCCAAGACTGCCAGGGCAGGAAGAAGGAGATGGGTGTTGTTTGGGACTTGGTTTGGGTTTTTCCCCACTGTGGGCAGGACTGTATGACCCGGCTTGATGGGTTTTCTCAGGTAGGTCAAGCCACCGCTTTATTTCTCCAACTGTAAAATCAGTGATTACAGAGGTAAAGGATTTCTCTTTGCAGACAGGGTGCTCAGCAGGGGGAAATGCTCTCACACTTGCCTTTCCCTGCTGTTTCCCTGCTGCCTGTCTAGAAATAAGAAATTCCAGCTGGAACAGAATCGCGACAAGTGGGGACCAGCCCAGAGACAGGGAGCTGTTCCTGAAGGAGGATTGTGAAGGTCCAGTGCAGGTTGCTCTTGGTGGGGGTCAAGAAGCAGTTCCCCATTAGTAGGATAACTTGACTGACCACGTACTGCCTAAAACTGTGATTGTTTTCAGAGAAGGGATGCAGACTAGGGGGACCAGTGGTTCAGACCAATGTGGGCAGTCCCACTGGCTTGCATTAGTATCTTGTATTCCACTGCTCAGACATGATTTTAAATGAGACTCAGTGGCTGGTCCTCACTCTGCCACTGATGAGATGATCCACCTAAGCATGTCCGCTCTCTCCCTGTCTCTCTGCTATACTTTATAGCCAGCAGTGTCTCTCAGTCATATGTGTACGGCTCCTGGCACCCCACTGACTTTCTGGAAACTAATGTGCTACAAGCAACAATTAAAAAAAATAAATCAAATTAACATTAAATCAGCCTCGTTCAAAAAAAACCTGCTTAAATTTTCTTGGGAGCCAGTACCCACTTGCAAGCTTAACTTAAATGAGTAGGTGTGAGATGAAAAAACACAGCTATTTGTGGGGAAAGGCAGCAGAAAGAGCCATTATGGTCTGCTTTCCTTACGGAAGGCCTAGAGTAACCACCTCATCCTCTGGCTGCAGGACTCACGTCTCTGGGGCAGGGCAGCTGGGTTTCAGGGTCTGAGGTGGCAGCTCTTCCCCTGAGATCTGGGGAACGTCATGATGCCCTCAGCACCCTCCCTTCCACCAGGCATGACCTGCACTGGCATCTGCTCTGTGCAAACAGGATGGGGAAGGAATCAGGGCAGTTAAAACAGCAACCATGACTTCACCTCAAGAGGGTCTTTAGACCCCAAATCTCTAACCCAAGGGGTTCCCTCACCATGCCAGCCCTCCATTGCCTTCCTTCTGGTGTCCCCTTGCCATCTCAGTGCTGGCAGCAATCCTCCAGAGATCTTCTTTTCCCCAAATAATTCCTCCTCTCGGTGGGGTAATCAGCTTTTTACTGGGAATCTAACGGGATGGGGACTTGTGTGCAAGTGTCTTAAACCCACCGCAAGCAAGACAGAAGCCCAGTAACCCCATGGAGACACATGGCATGTAGTATGGCAAATGTGGATGGTGCCCACCAACTGCTTCACTCTGCAGACCCTCTTCTGTTGGTCCACACGACCTGGTAATGTAGACATAGCCCTTGGGGTCAGGAAAGAGACACAGCACGACTAGAGGATGAATAAGCCAAGGTAAAGTTGTGCTTTTGCCCCAAGGGGCCATGTGGAAAGTCTAATTGTCCTAATTGACTCCTGAGCAAGCTCCACCTGATTCAGCAGGTGTCCAGCTCTGCTTTCTGGGGGATTATATTGCTCCTCCACTTCATGTATACATGACCCTACTGTGTTTGAATTTTCTCCTTTCCTCTGGAAGACTCCACAGCACAAAAGGGATTAAGACCCCCGTGCTCCATGCCTGGATGTGGCCTCTAAGGGCACTTGACAAGTTGGTGGCTATGTGGGATTACAGAGCCATGTTTCCCCACTGCGCAACAGGACACCTCAACACACACACCATCTCTCACAGCCCCTGGCAGAGCAAGGCAGGTAGGGACAGCTGAGATAATTTGACCAACCTTTTCACTCAGGTCATTGCTGCAGGTCAGAGTTAAGGTGATTTTGATACTTTCTTTGGATTTGCAATTTTTCCTGTGCCTTGCTTGCATTGCTAACACTGGAAGGTTCTTCTGTCATCTCTGAATTCTCCCTTGTGCTGGGGACACGGCTGATGGGTAGATTGGCAAGAGGGACCAAATAACAACTTAAAGCAGAAGCTGGATGGGAATTTAGTGAGTACATCTGGGATGTCCTCTGATAGCGCAGTCACCTGAAGATGCAGTTACACTTTTAGGTTGTACGTGCAAGTACACTCCTAAGTGTTAGCAGAGCTCAGCCATCAAATGCATTGGGGTTATTTGCATCTCACTCTGATGGTGTGACCAGCCTGTGTTCCCACAGTGGGAACAGTCTGCACTCATATGCAAAGAGAGCAATGGCTATAACACCCCCTTTAGCAGCAGGGACCAAAATCCCCTTCCACGCTGCTGTGTGAAGCCACTTTTACATTTGCTGGCAGGGCAGCAAACCCTCCATGCTGAGAAGGCTGCTCAGGTATGCATACCTACAAGCTGCTCATAAAAATCAGAGCCCTGCCTGTTCAGCCATTTCACTGGCATCAATGGGACATTTCAGAGCTTCGAATCCCAAATTGTGGTCCTGCTGCCACATTGTCTTTGTGCTCCTAAGGCGTTAACAGACAACAAGTTAGTGGGAGCAACCAGTGACAGCGCTGCACTAGTCCTGATCTGCATCAGGTTTAGTCCACCAGTACTCTGTGGGAACACTGAAAAAGGTGCTCAGCAAATATTGATTAATTACAAAACATACTCTAATCTTATTCCTCATTCTGGGAAAGGCAGAGAGCTGTTCTTCTGGATTTACAGCCAAGTAGATCAGATCATCAGTTCTTCCAGTATCCAGGATTGCTTTCCCACTACAGAAGCGGACCCAGCAGGAATATTGTTGGTGCAACAAAACTCAAATTATTTCCATCTCACACCCACAGACAGAGCCGTAATTCCATCATAGAACAAAGGTCAGGAGTCCTCCTCCTCTCACATAATTTATTTTCGACAGCTCATCAGGATCAGAGGAGCTGGAGATTTTAACTCGGAGGGTGAAATATAGCTTTGCAAGAGGCACTCAGTGCATCTTTATGAATCTCTGCTTCAGTACTGTGCAGGTATTTAACACAAGCCTGAAATATGTAGTTCTTGACAAATGTATTTGCTAGTGGTAATTGATACTTGCCTGTGAGAAATGTATGGTAGTTGCTGTTTTAAAGAGATAGCTCTAATTAGAGTTCAGCTGGAAGGTGAGATGATTTTATCTGGAACTAGGATTGCAATATCTGAACTCAGCACACACAGAGAAAGAAAATGAAGACAACACAAAATTCTTTTGAAACAGGTTCTTTTTTTCCTGAATGTTCACCAGTTTTCAAAAAACTACAAAAACATCAAGGACTGTAACAGGATAGCACTTGAAAAAAAGGCTGTTGTGTACAAAAACAAGCATGCTTTTGTTCTGGGGTTGAAGTGGGTTTTTGTATTTATCTGGGTTCTTTTCTTCCTTCAGCATAGTGTGAAAGAAGAAGAAAGTACTGGTTTATTTAACAGGATAGCTCAGAAAAAAAGAAGAACATGCTTTCCTCATTACAAAACTCCAGCAGAAGATGCATGCTTGAGGTCCGAAATACAAACAGACTGACACATTTTGTAGCATGGAGACTTTGTTGTACAACCCACACGGCACTTCCCGTCCCCTGCCCCATGGTCAAAGATGTGGTCTGTGCCATGCATTTTGCTTTCCTTTTAGTGGTTTTTTTTTTCTTTTTGTAGTGAGTTATTTGCCTTTTTTTTTCTTTTTTTTTTTTTTTAGCCCTAAATACCAGGTAGCGGTATCCAAGGTAACAGCAGAAAAGAGTCCAGATCTGCACATTATCACTGTTTCTGCAAGTTTCATGCAAAACTTGAGCCATTTCTGCATGCAACACGATGCTGGTCATTTATTGTGCTTCATACAACTCTGGGGAGATTTCCCCGTTCACCACGACAGAGTTTGTTGACTGGGAAGTGCAGGTTTGCTTTCCCATGGACACAGACATATTGAAAGACCCCTCTCCCCGCTTTCCACTCCCCCCAGCTGCCCCAAACACATGGGAATGCACATCTCAGCACCAGGTCCAGACAGTTCACTTGCCTACAAAAGCCCGGTGGCTTCAGTAAAGTCCCATGATTGCAGCTCCCACATCCTTGGAAGGTCTTCGGTCCTTCACCAGAAAGTTAATCATGCTCTCTGACTTGATGAGCAAGTTGCAGCCCAAAAAGAAGATGCCAAACATCACAGTCAAGGAGAGGACACAGAGGACAGCGATCTGCACCACCCGTGTGATGTAAAGACTCCTCTCATCAGGCGCCAGGACCGAGGAGCCACCGTCAGTCGCCAGCACTGAGCCAGTCCCATTGCAGCAGGCCATGAGCATCCCCAAACCCTGGGTCCTGTTGGGGTAAGCTCCCTGCTCTAGGAGAGTCTGGTTGAAAAAGGATCCATTCATGGTCTATGCGTGATCCCAAATCTCCGGGGAAGGCAAGAGGAAAGCTTGCTGTCCCCCTGCCCACCCCTCACATGCCAGGGCTTGGCACCACGGGCCAGTGGGCTCCGAGCCACCTCCTGCCTTTCTTCTCACAGTGCCTCAGATGGAGGGGAAACTTCTTTGAGGCTGCGAGCAGGTGGGAAGCCAATTCGTGCAGCAGAGGGATGGCTTGCTCCCGGATCCCTCCTGGCACAGGCAGCGTTAGCACAAGCCCCCAAACAAGCAAAAAGAGAAAGAGAAAAAAGGCAAAGAGGGCACAGGGGAGAGGAAGGCAGCTGAGGATCGCCCCATGCCTCCTGCCCTCGCCACTGCCCCGAAAGCTGCCACCCCAAAGCGCAGGGCAGCGGAGCGGTGCAGCCTGTTGCCCCGGGGGCTCTCCCGCAGGAGGGAGAGCTGATTCCTGCCGGCTGGGAGCTCCACAAATGCAAGTTCCAAGCTAAAGTCTTCACCGTGTTCAAAGAAAAAACAGCAACTCCACCCCCTTCCAGCCTCCCCCCAGGACCGCCTTCCTCCCCCTCCGCACTCACCCAGGCTGCCCACCCCTTTCCCACGCGTGTGCACCCCCTCTCTGCCCTGCCGTGGGTGCCCGCACCCACCCCTATGCCACCCCCAGGTGGGGGCTGACCCCTAAGGCCCTGTGGAGCGGCACCTAACTCATCCTTCCTCCATCCCCCCCCCAACCTGCTCCCAAAAGCAGCCCGTATGGTCAGTGTTCATGCTGGACTGCTGGCAGGTTCCTGTCCCCCCCAGCCCACCCCTGATGAAAGCTCCCGTGAGCCTCAGGTCAGTGCTGCTCTTGCTGATCCCTGGTTGCTGCTCTGTGCCACCCACTCCTTCCTAGAGCAGTGCTAGCCCAATCCAGCCCGGTTCACCCCCAGCTCTGCTCAGTGATGCCTGTCCTGTGCCTCCAAATGAGAGCTGGATCCATCCCCCTCTCTGCATCCTTATTTTCCTCTGGCTGACGGTTTCCTCCCCGGGCATCTTTGTCTCCCTCTTCTTCCCCTCCTGCTCCTTTAGCTCCTTTGAGGGGGACCACTGCAATGCTGCACCCCGATCTCTGCCCAACACCCTTTCCCTGCCGTCCCCAGCTCTGGGTCCCACAGCAGCATCACTGCTGCACCCAGGGCTGGAGCATCGTGGACCCTCTCCATCAGGCCCCTCAGCCCCACCGGGGCAATCCCAGGGGAAGTTGCATCACCACTACCCTCTCTGTGTCTGCATAAGCTCCCAAACTGATGCCACGAGTCGGGGTGTCCAGACATGTCTGGCTCAGTCTTGACCCTTCCCATCCCAGGGCTTGCCCATGGAACTGCCATGTCCCGGCTTCCCGGCTTTGCCCGTTGCCATTTGCCTGGAATCATGTCTGGATGGCACAGAACAGCAGATCACCCCCGAGCCATGGTGTGAGGACCTTGTCCTGATTTATCTGTGTACATCTTGGCTCGCTTGCTTTGCCCAGCCCCCAAAGGGGATTTTAGTAAACCTAAAATAAGAATTGATAAATTGCAGCTAAAGGCAGGAGCATGAGGCTGGCCGGCTGAGGATGGAGGATGGTTTGATAGAGAGAGTGTCAATTGATTTTCCTTTTAGGCAGCTGGGACCTGTGCCCCTGTTCTGCTGCTGTGACTTTAGGGGCTCAAAAACTGTTTGGTTTGGGTTTTACTTGTTGCTTTTTCCTCATTTTGCACGTGGCGTTTCTCTCCCTGAAGGGCTGCCTGGTCTGCAAGGGCAGTTTGCAGCAGAAGCACTTGCAGGAGGGAGGCAGAAAGCCCTGATAGAACAAGAGCATCTGCTCGTGTTTAACCTGCAGGCCAGGAAAAATCCCCATGGGAAACCAGAGCATCCCCGGTGCCCCAGCCCCGGGTGGGAGCTCCTCTCCCCGGCTCGCTCCCACACTGAAGGAGTTTCTGCTCCCTCTGGTGGCTCCAGCTCCAGCCTCTCCTCTCCCCGCACACTCCAGCATGGATTTGGGCTGCTGCACCTATCACTCCTGGGTCACAACCTGCGGTGATGGGGCAGCCGGGGCCGTGGGGCCGCTTGGCTCTCAAACACTCCCCTGCGTGCTCTTTGCCTTCATCCAGCCAGGGACGTCAAAACCCAGAGCATCCCATTGTCTATTACACGATGCCTGGAGTTAACATCACAGCGATGTTTTCAGGACAAGCAGCACCTTCTTGCAGTTGGCAGGGAAATCCAGTCCAAATGTGCTGAATTAAGTTCATGCCATCATGGTCCTCAGGCAGGACGGGAGCCCAGACAGGTGCAGGCAGGTCAAATACTTCATTTTGTGACTTCTTCCTTCTTTTTCCAAGAGTTTTTGCACCATGCTGGAAGCAAGGGCTGGAGTATCGCAGCTCACGGTAGGCAGGGAGTTTCAGGACACGCAGGGCTGTGTGTCGCTTTGGAGCCAGCAGCACTTGCTAGTTTGGGCAACCAGCTGCTGGGCAGGATGAGTCCCTCAGTGAAGAGGTCCTGCGAGATAGATGGCAGGTCAGATCTGTGGGGTGTGCAGAGCTGAGCAGGGCTCCCACATTTCTCTCTGGAAACTTAGACAAATTCATTGTCCCTCCCATGAAGCATTCAGACATGCTCGCAGCGTGATACAGTGCAGTGCAGGGGGACAGGTTGCCGTGTGGCCAGAAAGACCTGCGTGATGAGGAAAGGCCATGTAAGCAGCATTTCCAGGCAGGACACATGCAGGAAAAGCAGGACTTTGGATGCCCTAAAACTGGCTAGTGGGGTCTGCAGTGTGAGATGCCTCTGGGATCTGGAGCAGGGCGAGACCTAGAGCCCCCCAGAAAGCAGGTTTGGGGTTTGTATTGATGTCCCAGCCAAGATGCAGCCCTTTTTGACACTGGGTTGGTGAATTTCTCCTAGTCCCCTTTACCAAATCCTCATTAACAAGTTTTGGGGAGGGACTTGGATCCCAAGCAGAAAATGTTCCCCCACTGAGCGGAGCCCCACGCAGCCGCGGGAGGGCAGCAGCACCCCTTAGGGACAGTGGGGCTGAGTGGGGAAGCAAAGAGGCATCAAAAGTTCTTCTTTTAAAGCCACGCAGAGTCCCCATTTCCATCTCACCCTCACAAACACCATCACCTCTTTTTGACAGCCACACACGGCTCTGGGGCAGGTGCCGTTATCCCCATCTCTCCCGGTGTGGGGCTGCGGTTTTGTACAGCACCTTGCACATCGCCCTGCAGCTTCCTGCACTGCCGGGCTGCGGCTGCAGCTCTCAGCACCCACACGAGCTCGTTTTCCACTGCCTGGTGTTTCTGTGTGTTTGGATCGTCTTGACCCAGGGTCATGTCATTACTGTCCCCAACCCCTGTCACCTGGTGGGAGAGATCATTCAAGAGCTCCAGGGACCCAGCCCTTCTCTCCCTTTTGCCCCCTGCCAGCCTGTATTTTGAGTGCCTCAGTTTCCCTGTCTCTGAGTAGAACCTTGGTATTGCAAGGGAACAAGAGGTTTATAAAACCCCTTCAGGAGGCACCCACAAGCAGCTCCGGCATTTCAGCTTGGACAATTCCTGCGCAGATCCAACTCCCTGTACTTGCTCAGTACAGGAGCAACTTCTGAGGACGCTGAGGGGAACAAACAATACAAGTGAGAAGAAAATCAGGTCCAAATTATCTGACCCAAAGCTGAACTTCCCTCCCTTTGCAATGTCCAGGTTTATACCCAAACTGCTGGTTTCACCAGGTCCAGTCCTTGGCTGGGTCTCACTCAGCTCCCAGGTCTGTTTCAGCAGAGATATTCCTATTTGCACCAGTGCTTTGGGGAGAGGAGCTGAGAACCCACACTTTCATATCGGTATGTATTTATTTGCTCTATTTCCCCTTAAATCCTTGAACTCAGAGGTAGCTCAGACTCCAGCGGGTTTAAGACCCGCGCTGCCTTTCATGCAAGAGTTAATAAAAGGAGGGAGTGAGCAAGACTTTGCAAGGAATTAAACCCAGGCAAAAGAGCCTATGGGAAAGAGCCTGTTACCAGCCCCAGGGCTGTAGGTCACCGTACTTGCTGCCAGGGTTTATTAGGTCCTTGTCTGAGCTCAGAGAGCAAAAAGCATGAGGAGCTGCAGGCAGAGCAGGCGGGGGCACTCCCTGACTCAAAACTGAGTGACGAGCCAGCGCCGTTTCCTCCAGCCAGCCCCGTTCGACATGTGTGTCATACACCCAGACTCATGATTCATCTCCTGAACTGTTCAAAACCTCCAGCCGCCCCAGAGCTGCTCTCCATCGCTCACGGTGGGGCTGGTCCAAGCAGCCCCCCCCCGGTTCGGGGCTTGGAGAAGAAGATGGGAAAACTCTACGTGGCTCTCGGGATCCTCATGCTCTGCGTCGCTGGTGGCTGGGGTAGGTTTACAGCCCGTAGCATTGCCGCTTGCTTAAAGCCAGGTCATTTAGCGATTATGTTGCCTGTTATTTCCCAAAATCCCAGGATTTTCTGCATTCCCAGGGTCTGCGATTTCCTGGGAAAGTCGCTCAGAGGGGAAGCTGGCAGGCTGAAACCTCGGCGCCGTTCCCAAATCCAAAGCACCGCTCAAGCCGGTTGAGCTTCGGCTGGGCCGGGGCCAGGAGGGTTTCTCAAAGGTGTTACAGGGTCAAGGCATGGTTTGGTGCATTATTCTCGTACTGGGTGCGGCAAGTTTATATTCTCTACCTACGCTGTGTTTGGCTCCGGGTACTGGTTTGTAATGGAAGGACTGGGGTGTGACTTGGGCTCCGTCCTTCATAAACAGAAAATACACTGGGGGAGTTTGCAGTGCAGGTAGTCGCTGTAGCCATGTCATTTTAAGGGCATGGGGTGCATTTATGTCAGCATTGCTGTCCTGTGTTATTTTTTCTCATGCTATTTTGGTGCTTTTCTTTAAAAACTCTGATTTCTGGAATCAGGTGATTTCAGGACAAATATAGTTTGTATTTTTAAAAAGATTTCCACTGTCTGAAGCATGGAGAAGAAG